AACAAAATCTATCATTAAATTTAAATGTGATGCGTACACGTTACATCTTTAATTCGATTACAATGTTCTTGATGTTTATTCTTGCAATTTATTCTTAAATTAATAAAAAAGTTCTGTGTTTTAACTCATATTTAAAGTTCTATGTTTAAAATAATAAAAAATAATAAGAAGAAAAGTTTGTCAAATTTTCATGATGTATTTTTAAAAGTAATTATTTATATTATTTGATTAAAATGATAATTTTTATTTATCAAAAGTTAAATTATGCGTATTTGTTTTTTTTTTCTTTTTTTTTTTTTAAAGTAATTAATATTTTATATTCAAAGGAAAAAACAAAATTTTGATTGTATTTATTTTATCGTAATTTGTAAGGTACTCGAGAAACTTTATAGAATAATATTATCTTTCACAATAGTATTTTCTTTGAAACCCTAATTAATACAAGTATTAGATATAAAAATTTACTCACATACAAAATTGATTCTTCAATAATAATTTCTTTGACCTGAAATTGATCCCATGTTTTCCTCTAGCAAAAAAGAAAAAAAAGAAAAAATTCTTTAGATAGTCGAGAATGAGATAAACCATTGTAGTAAAAGCATCGACCCAAAAAACTTTAGAGAGTCGAGAATGAGCAAGTAGGGTAAGGCCAGATTCTAGGACGTGTCTCAACTTTCTCTCAGCAATAAGATTCTGAGGTGTGAGGGCATGATTTTCTGTGTAAAATGCCATGCTGAAATAAAATTAACTGAAAAGATATGGAATTAAATTGTTCAAACGTCTGAATGAATTATTTCCAAAGGATAAATGCTTCGACGGGATGAGTGGGGAAAGGGTAATTTCTTGTTTTTTGCCAAGTTCACATGATTCGAAAATTCCAATCAATTTATTCTTCTCATTCGATAAAATAGGTAAAGCGTGTGATTTTATTATAGAGGACACTGTAACGACCTGGGCATCTATACTCAAATAATTAGCTTACGTATTGTCCGCTGGCATATGCACTTACCCCCTCACGAATTTCTATCGCATCCCAATTTGAACTCAAGACCTCCGTGTTTTTTTTATAACGCCCCGAGTCTCTATTTTCAAAACCGTTAGCTTACGAACTATCCGCTTTGGGTAGATCTATACCCACTTACACCTCACGACTTTCTATCGCATTTCCTAGGATTCGAACTCAAGATCTCTATCTAATCAGAAACTTGACTTGGGCAACCATGTTGTAAAGATCGAAAACTTGACATTTGAGCCATTAAATATGTATAGTAAAATAAAAACTCAACTTCCATAAAAATATAGCTTTTGTCTCAATTACAGTAGTAATAATAATAATAATAATAATAAAGAATTACTAAGACCAGTTCCAAACTTCAATGCCTCGACCCTCAATTACCTAAAAGGAAAAAATCATAAATAATGAGATAAAATCTCAATAGGTGAGCCATAAAAATCATAATTTATATTTAAAATTTAGGAATTCTTAATGTACATAAGGAGACACGAGAATTACAAATCGAATTTATGTGGCAATTATCCCCATATATAATCACAGCATACATAGGGAGACATGAGAATTAAGAACCGTACTTCGTTGCTATAATTTTCGTGTATATCGCTACTAAACTCTGGTTCATGAATTTAAACATATGGGACCCACATCATATTTATAAATTGAATTTTGTATTTTAAATTATGAAAAACGATTTAACATACAACGTATGACTACACTTACTTTGATAATTTGAAGAGAGTTGTAGTAAATACGTAGAGAAATATTAAACTTTTTAACAAAGCGATAAATTGTGTGTGTACATGAGTGTGATTTACGTGTAATATTTATATGTACATTTAGGAGTACCAAAAGGAATATAATAATGGTATCCCCATAATTGCACACTAAATAAGGTAATAATTTATACTGCATAAAAATTATACATGTATAGATTTACACATGGTAATTTACTTATTTAAAAAGAAATTTTTCTAACTTATATATATATATATAAACACATAAGTATAGTAATCATATAATTTAAATCAATCGATCATAATCATAATTAATTATATACATATATAGACACACGTAATTATAGTAACATATAATTTAAATCAATCAATCAATCATAATCATATATATTTATATAGATATATAGATACATGAAATTATAGAAATCCTATAATTTAAATCAATATGTTATAATTATATACATATATAGACACACATAATTATAGTAAGTATAATTTAAATGGAAAAATGCAGCTAATGTACCAAACCTTTCAATTAGTTGCAAATTTTGTCCAAACCTTTCATTTGTACCACCCACAGTACCAAATCATTAAAAAAATTGCAGCTCCAATCCTCATTGACAGTTTCCATCCGTTTAACCACGAAAATCGTTAATTGACCCCAAAAATTAAAAAAAATTATAATTTTCACCAAATAGACAAAGGCAATTTCAAAATTACACACTTTCTCTATCTATTATTGCACTTCACTATTCACTTTCCCTCAATTTTCATCACTTTAATATCTTTCTCTCCCACAGTTAATCAGGAAAAATCAACACGCAGATGGAGATGAATGTATGCGGATGTGGTTCCCCAACGCAGATGGAGATGAATGGACAAACCTGAACCTAAGAAGAAGATTTATCACTTGTCCTCGAAGCCAAGATCAAAGTATATGTACTTTGTTTTGCGGAAGTGGTTCCCCAACGCAGATGGAGATGAATGGACATACCTGAACCTAAGAAGAAGAGTTATCACTTGTCCTCGAAGCCTAGATCAAAGTATATGTACTTTGTTCGTATGGTGTGACCCTCCTATGTGTGAGAGATCTAGGGAGCTGATTCAAGGTTGATTACGGGCTAGGAGGGAAATGGAAGTTGAAATCAGCACCCTCCAAGCAACAAGACCAAATTTGTGGAAGACTTGGCTACTCAGCTTTGTGTGTGGAGTGTTTGTAAATAGGTTTGTACCTAGGTATGCAGGCTGCGTTTGTGGGATTGGCTTTTTTAGCTTCAGAAATGTAGGCTTAGTGTTTAAACGTTGGTGGTTTTGTGTTATATGTTGTGAAAGGTGGATATAAATGTGGTCATGCTTGTACCATTTTCCTTCAAATGAAGTGCCCCTTTCTATATAATATTCTAGACGGTACTAACTGTTCACATTTCTATTTTCTACCCTTTGCTTTATGAGAAGTTAAAGTTCAGATCACGCTTCAAACGTTTCATATATGGTGCATCTGAGATACCAAACATTTGGTGATCGTTGCACTATTAGTAAACATTTGGTGATTATTGCTTAAGAAATACGGGATTTATAGCACATATTGTAGCACATGTTCAACATAAATGAGATACCTAAATATGGGATTTATAGTCAACAATGGACGTGATTCTAGACTGCTCTTCTTTTGGAATTCCTTGCAATCAGGCAAAGAATCTACTAGAGAGCAAGGAATCTACTGGAGAGGATTGAGGTTGTTCCTCTTCTAGACATGATTTAAGACTGCTCTTCTTTTGGAAATATTGATTTCTTGCAATCAGGCAAGGAATCTGCTTGAGAAGATTGAGGCTGCATAGATGGGAAAATAACATGATCGATATTTTCCTTAAAAGACTCGACATTGACTGGATTACACCTCCATGCCTTAACAAGCCATCACCCCCAAAATCCCTACCACAACCATGATCGGTTCCTCCAAACCTTACACACTTTCTAAAGTCTCAAAACAAATTTGACAAGCAAATGCTTAATGGGTTCATAAGCTAATGTGAGTTGAGGTGATAATGGCGAATTTTGGTGGTAAATGTCAAGGAGTTGCAGAGGTAATGAGGACATTAGTGGAGAATGATGATAATGTAATTGTCGAGCCTAATTAATGTCGCTAGTGCAGAGCCAGTACGTGAATCTACATATGTTGTGAGGTCACCATGGGAATTGAAAGGAACAAAAGAACCCAGACAAAAATTCCATTAAGAATAATTTAGGAATTATGTCATAGCAAATCTCAATTTTGTTCTAATTTATCTTATAAATAAAGACCCATCCTCAGATTTTTTATCATCATCATAAAAGAGAGAGACTAGAGAATATAGGATGTACAATTTTTTCTTGTAAACATTTTTCATCATAGTGAATTACAGATATGAAAAAAAAAAAAAAAATTACATATATGAAAGATGTAGTATCATACTGAAGAGAGTTACTATAAGTGGGTGTTTGGAGGGGATTAAAATTAAATTTTTAGTAGATTGTGATAGAAGATTTTGAAATGTGTGGTTGAAAAGTTGTGGGACCCATGAAAGATGTGGGTAATATTGATTGTTTGACTTTGATTTTGATTAAAATCTGATTTTAATTCAGACCAAACATGGCCGCAGTATTTGAGTCAAAACCGTGTGGTTGAAAAGTTGTGAAACTCATTAAAGAAGTTATTAATATTGATTGTTTGATTTTGACTTAAATTAAAATATGATTTTAATCTGAAACCAAACAGGGCCTAAATTTTGATTGTCTTTATTGTTTTAGTAAATTTATTGCTTTTGGTGAAATAGAATTAGGGTTTATGATTCTCAACAGGTGAAGGAGTCAAGATCCCCACTACTAGATCATAAGAATACGTATAAACAAAAAGGACATGGTGTAAAGCCCTAGCTCTGAGGTACAATGACGAAGGAATAGTAAACAAATTTGAAGCCATAAGATGACAATTTCTAACAACTGAAGGCTAGTTGGTGTCTAATCTGTCCACCTCTTGAGGCATGTTTGATATGCAGTAGTAGACAGGTTTTGATAGTACAATAAATAAGATTTTAACAACTTTTCTTTATTAATTAATACTATTGAGTATTGTACAAAATAAATCTTTTGAAAATATCCACACATTAAATAAAATCTACAAATTAAAACATACCAGCTTATATACTGTGTAAGATGAATGTTTTGGACATACTTCTCCTTGAGGTGCTACCATACTCAGTTCGACGATCAAGCTAGCTTAAGCCATGCTTCCGGAGGCAAGCTTTGGATCTAATATCAGCCTAACAACGAAAGAGAAAATAAGCTAAATAAAATTCGAGCAAGATTAAACTGCACATTTAGCACGAACAACTAACTGAAATAATATATTCCTGTCACTGGAACAGTTTCAACTGAGACTATCTACATGCCAAGTTAAAAGTATAAAGATAACGTCGAATGCTATGACTGGAACAATTATTTTTCTTAAATCAAAAGGCGACCATTTCCTCTAAACAAGAATCAAACCACTTCTGGCACGATCTCTCAATTTGGTAGATCAACAAATAATATGTAAGAGCAATCAAGATTTTCTCAAGGGTAATTATATTCACACCACAGGTTGTGAAAATGCACCCATTTTAATTGCAATGGAGGTAGTAAAACTTTTGCTCATTCTTGTACTTATCTCAACTTTTTTCTTACTATTTTGATCCCTAACCTTTTATTAATTAACACGTTTTTCCCTAATGACAGTCAAACAATCCGTTAAGAGGGAGTAAAATGTCCCATTTGCCCCTCATTTTTTTAATAAGCAAGATAAACAACAAATACAAAACTTCAACAAAACATTTTCCCACACTAACAGAATATTTGGACAGAAATCATTATCGAAGACAAGATGTGCTAATTAATTGAAGGTTAAAAGATAAGAATGCAAGGATAAAAGTTGGGACAAAAGTGTGAAAATAAGAAAAATTGGGGACCTTATTTGCAAATAAAATGTGGAGCAGCTAACAAAAACTATAGCGTGAATATAATTACCCTGTTCTTGATGTATAATTGTCAGTTAAACTATTTATGGCTCTGTGCTTTGTCACAAAATCTATATCTGATCCATTAATCAATTGATATGTACTACTCACGAAATTTCAAAAGCACCAAGTATTACCTGCCTGATGGGCTCTGGGACCCGAAATCTGCAACTCATTTTCACAATTTTGATGGCGCTGGTAAGAGATACACGATGACCAACTGAAATAAAAATCGGTTTCAAGGCATCTTGAGTCGATCTCATTGCCTGCATAACTATAATATATGTTGGTACTTATCTCTAATTGTTAAAATCCAATAACTAAGGTAAAGCAATCTTCCTTCAGCTGTATTTTCAAATGCAAACTTCGAGACTAAGTTTATTGAAGTAGCTTAAAGCACCAACTTTTATAGTAGAATAAAGGAATCAAATACTTTAAATAAATATCAATACAAGAACATACATACTACAGGAATATTTATATTGTAAAATAATGATCGACTTAAAATGTATACCAAAAGCAACGATTAGGAAGAGTAATAATAGTAGTGTAAACAATTACTTAGAGAACAAACATGACCTAAAAACACCGTAAGTGAATGATTTCAAGTATTTGTGTTTTACTTCAGACAAGTTTCTTAGCCCATGTTTGGTACCGATTAAAATCTGGTGTAAGTGAATGATTTCAAGTATTTGTGTTTTACTTCAGACATGTTTCTTAGCCCCTGTTTGGTACCGATTAAAATCCAGATTTTAATCTAAATCAAAGTCAACAATTAATTTTAACTTCATATTTCATGGGTCCCCACAACTTTTCAACCATACATTTCATCAAATTTTATCAAAATCTACTAAAAATATGATTTTGATCCCCACCAAACAGAAGCTTAATAAATGAGTAAAATATGAGAACCTATGTACTTGACCCCAAATAAGTATGGGATAACAAGGCTCTGAGTTTAAACTAGTTTCACATCTCATAATTAGTTCATTATTGTTATTTAGGACCCTTTCTCCACTTCAATTCAACTTGAACGCACATAACTGTAGCTTACCAAAACAGAGGAAAACTGTCTGGAATTATATTGCTGTTTTTTTTTCGTTTTTCGCATAATAGAGAGAGAATTCATTTCCTCAAATATAAACAAGGCTACAAAGTATATGTAATGCGAGACTACAATGTATGAATTTCTTCATAAAAATACATGGGATTTCACTGTTAACTACGGCTGACAAGTAGTAAAGCTGCATACATTTGGATTACTGCAAGAAAATAATTAAATATTCTCACCGCTCCTAAAGTAGACCCCGAGTCCCCAATCAAAGTGAAGACATCTTGAGACAAGTTTCCCTTGGCTTCAAGGAGTTGTCTCACTCTAGATTGGCTTAGACCATCAACGTGGTGTAACTGAAATGCATCACCAGAGAACATACAGTTAACTTTTGGCACATTATGACACAAATAGAAAATAATTTGTAAAAATTAACTCGTACAACAAAAATATTGTCATAATCTTAAAACTTACATTCTTTCCTATCCCAACAGTAGGAATATTAGCCAAAACACCAAGATGACTAGCTAATCCCATGCCTGCACAAGTCTCCAAGTTTAGATTGAAATGAAAAGCTGAATGAATTAACAAGTTCTGCAAAAAAATTAAAGACCAAAGCACAGTCAAAGCAGTAATCAGAATAGTACTAATGATGGTTTAAACTCGTCAAAAACAAAAGCAGGCTCTTCCAGATCTCTCTTATCAACTAAAGCAAAAGAGAAACAGCAGAAATATTTGTTTTCGTTCCCAGCAATAAGATTTAAGGAAATAGAACACAACTGCAATCCTAATGGATTAGTTTAATTTTGCAGGCGCAAGTTTTACCAGTCTAGACCTTCAAATGAAGATTGTTCCACTTTTGGATCTCTTTTTCCCTTTTGGTAATATATTAATTAATTAGTAAGGATATATTTAGCTACAGTGAAATTATTGTTAATCAATTAGTTTTGACATGATAATAATGCAGCAGATAAACAGAACAAGCCAGGACTATACATGTAAGCCAAACAAATATCCACTTACACGTCACTGGAATAGGAAATTTATATAGGCCTTTCACAGTGCTTTTACCACAAGAATTTTGTTAGTTACACAACAATTTTAAGCATTTGTTTTATTTACTTAAATAGCCTTATGTAAAATTACATAAATAGGGTTTTAATATAATTATTACATAAAACGGTTTATTGTTTCACCACAATCATAAACCTTGTTTTTTTCTTTCTTTTCCCTCAACAGCCATGCCATAGCTTTTCCATCGACGGCTTTTGTGTTCTTCCACGACGGAAAATAATTTTAGTTCTCTCTGATTTCAGTTCATGATGAAACCTGACCAGCATTATGTTGAGCAAAAATTGTCATTGCAGATGGCTTTTCAAAAGATGACAAACTCCATTTTGAGATTGAGCCGATTGAATTCTGTAAAGTCAAGGCAAGAATTTTGTGTTTTTTGCCATCTTCTTATATAACATCTATCTTATTAAATCTGTGATAGGAATTTTATTTTGCTTCTGGATTGTGATAACATTATTATTTAAGCACTTGTAAGGCAGAATTTCTCTCTGATGTGATGTATTTTAATTGCGTGCGTATTTAGGAGTTTTGGTTTTGGATATAGTAGACTATAGTTTTAATTTTAATGCTGTCTGATTTTTGCTCCATCTTCGACTAAAAATTTCTTAAAACAAGATCAAATTGGCTAAAACATATGAACAAGATAAAATGAGACTTTTGTATTAAGGAATATAATAGGTAAAAGCATATGACATACTGCTTTTCAATCATTTGTTTTCCATTCTATCTTTGAAGGGTGGCCAAACAAGAAAATCAGTGGGCTTTTAAAGGTTGATGATTTTGAAGTATGAAAAAGAGAAGACTTTTGTTTGTCAATCTCTTGGATAGTTGTAGCACTTTTTAAAAGAGAATCGAATGTTTGGTAGCACGATGACAAGCAATATTTTTAAGGATGTTAAAATGCTTGTTGATAAAGAGGTAGGTGACATCTGGTGTGAGGCATTCTATCAAGTTTGTGTCTTCCAAAAAATTTAGAATAGGTGGAAAAGATGAGAAAAATGAGTAGTAATATTGGGATGATGAGTATACCAAAATACTGTAATTTTTTTTTTTTTTTTCATTTATTGTTTTTATTGGATTATGAGTATAATTGTAAATTTGTTGTGGTGTATTTATTGAAAATATATTTTAATTGTGGTGAGATTATAATGTCAATGAAGTTTTTACACCACCTAAAACCTATTCTTAAATTAGAAAGAAAATGAACTGTATGGACACTACATCAGAGCACATAGAAAAATTACCGGGGGTCTTCTAGCAAACCAACATTTTGTATATTCTTTCTTAAAAACGACAGACAAGTTGCCCAATAACAGGGTGAAAAGGTTTCTCTAAATAAGATGGAGCTACAAGCATAGGCCACTCACTATCAGAATGCTAGCAGAAGTGATTGGGTAACATGATAAGAGGTAGAGAGGAACATTTATGGAATATTCGAAGATAGAAGAACTAAAAGCATTCTAATCAATAATATGTGCCCTATCACCATGCACATTAGCAGCATCCAGAGAAGACTTTATCCACTTCCAGTAACAAATAGAAGAATAAAAACATCATTCACTAAGAACCATAAACAATATGATGCTCTAAAAGCAAGCCACAATATAACAGTTCAAGCAAGTGCCAGTGAAAGGTAATGGCATAAAGTAGCAATTTTCACGAAAAAAGCTTGGGATTTTTTAAAAATGAACTAAATAAACAAAGCGTTCAGGCTGGTTTCAAGAAGGAATTTGCCCATAATGCATCATTTCTTATCTTCTCTAAAAAATGGAAATATAAAAGACTTGCCTCGAGGATGAAGTATTCCATTGCCGTCAACCATCAATATCTGTCAAAGTAATTGACTTAAAGGGTCTCAGCATCCATTAAATTTTGGCAAGGATTTGTGACTGATAGTATTTGAACATTTTACGAAAAACAAACTCAGAATCTACACATGCATCTTAAAATAAAATACTCCGGAAACTTTTGTTTCAGGAAAAAGAAATGCAGTGTGAAAATTGGGCAGAGTCAAACAGAGTTGTCTTGTTAGTTTTTTTCATTTGTTTCTTGGTAAACAATGTACAAACTAATCAAATAAATTTCATCGGTAGACTTTCACATTATAGTGAAAATTTGGCAGAGTCAAATATATTTGCCTTTTAATTTATTTATTTTTAATTTTGTTTCTTGATACATAATTTCACATAATTAATCAAATAAATTTCATCATTGACTTCCACGTTATGTTATCTCACAATATAAAAGAAAAATATTTTATACTAGTATTAAAAAAGTTATCACCTGTGGATAGAATGGAAGAGATCCCTTCTTCATTTTCTGGAGAAGTTCTACAAGTACTGGAGCCTGTAAAATAGATAAACATTCAGTTTTTGTACTATATATATAGCAAAATCCAGAACCATATGAAGCAGTGCTTAGTTAATCCTCAACAATTTACAGGTAAAAATATTTCTTTACCAATAAGAAAGAAATCAATTGCTTACCTAGAAAACATTCTACACAAAAATTATTGTGATACAAATACAAACAGGAAATTTAAAATGAAAGGGAAAAGCCCAACATGCAGGGGCATTGATCAATTTTCATCATCCCAGAGTGAAAACCATGCTTCTTTTGATAACGTTATGCTCCAAAGGCTCTACATTTCATAAAATCTAAGAATTGATGTTCTTTAGAAGTAAAGCAAAGGCCACAAATAAGATCTCTCTGAAGACAAATGTGTTGTCCTCTATACTCCAAAATTTGTGCCTTTTTCTCACAATTGCATTATGTAAAAGGAATAATATATTGAAACAGAAAAATCTCAACTGCAGCAATTATGAGTTGTGCACTATGCTCAAAAAACATGTAGTTTCCACTATCCCAAGAATTAATAATCAAATAAAGAAAAAAGTTAAAATGGTACAGGGATAAACCTCTCCGAAGGCAAGAACCAGAAATAGAGAATGGAGCATAAAATTATGTGTTTTCTTATAATATCAAGAATTCATCAAACAAACTCACAGAAAATCCTTATCCCATATATGAGATAGCCTTTTCTTCTAGCCACGAACAAAACTCTTAACATTTATTATGCCCACTGTTAAAGCTAATCAAGTGTTATTCTCTTCAGAAAAAGGTGTGCCACTATCAGATCGTGCTCTGAGGAAAATTCTAAAATCAGCACTCAAAGATCATTTTTTATCTGCAAAACCAAATTCACACTATAACATGCCAACAACCCCATGATCCTGTCCTAGAAGTTCATTAACAGCCTGTTTGTTTCAAATTGTTTTAACAAAAAAATCAATTTTTTTACCCTTTTTTTTTAAAACATTGGGGCCCACTGTGAGAGAAAGAGATCAAAATTTGTGGCTACATTACTGTAGCAACGGTAGGAATTCTGATTATAAGTGGAAACAAACAGCGGCTAAGTCTCACATGAAAATTTTCTCTCCTTTTAAGTGTATTTCTTAATCCAGTTCTCATGACCCAGTTTCATTCGTATATAATCCATCCATATCCTCACAAAGTTGCACCTACAAGAATTATCCTAATCATATTTTGTTGCATAGGCACTTAAAGCATTAACTATGCATCTTATGCTACAACTTCAATCGAATAAATCCTTGTCCTATTTATGGAGACTACTCTCTTATGGTCCTCGTGTACCATAA